TATATATATATATTGCACAACAAAGACAAAAAGGAAATATTTTAATTATTTATTTTAAATTAAAATATTTTTAAGAAAATATATATTTAAAAAAAAAGCTGGAGTGCATACAATTCAGGTTGTTTAACAGTATTAAGTGAAAACAGTCACTAATTTATTCCTTACAGTTTAAATACCGACTGTCATTTGTATATTTGACTGTTTCTGTGAAATAACAATTAATAACAATTAAATTAGCTTAGTTCATTAATATCAATCTAATTTCATTAGCATGATATTTTATAATTCCATTCTCGAATAAGACACCATACTTTTTTTCACCTCGGATATTTTGTTTCCGATTAACCCAATGGTTCACAGATGAATAAATGATGCAAATGCTTCATCACTTATGTACGAAAATTATTTCTACTCAGATATAATGACATCAGATTATAAACAGCATTCACATCCATTTTAATGCACTCCAATCCAATGTTTTTCGAGTAAAATTATATTAATGCAATCAAATTTTGCTGTTCATACTAGTCAAAATCCCTGAAAAAGAAAAAAAAAATTGTCAATCGAAAAACGTCTTAACTTCACAAGCCCTGTCTTTCAAACGCCCTGCCGCTATCACTAAGTTCTTCGTCTAATTTTAATTTCATTTGTTTTCGCGTGATCATAGAAAAAATCGTGATAAATGTACGAAAAGTCAGAACAAATGATATACCCAGGAATAATTTCAGGCGAGATACCTTTATTAAGCTTACAAAAAGCTTTCCTTGTATTATCTGGATTTTCAATACCCGATCATTCTATTCTATTCTATAACCATCGTTCAACAGTCGTCTACCTAACAGCCGAATATGATCCGTCTACCACCGAGGATATTTTACGTCAGCACTGTGATCGTTGCAAGCTGGGTCTAGAATTCGTATCGACCACTCGTATCGACTTGAGCGCTTCCATATAATTTTTTACGACATGAGGCAAACCGTAATCATGCAGAGGAATAACTCGTCATGACTTTGTCATATCTTTGCTCGTATTCCGGTAGTTTTTCTCGTAATGCACGGCTCAAACGAATCAATTGTAGCCTATACCGATCACCCGTAATGGATTGGCCAAGTTGTAGCAGCTCACAGTATACAACACCATTCACCATTATTGAAACGTCTAAACCATTCCCTTCATGATTTATCAGTTGGAGCATTGTCACCATAAACTTCTACAAGCATTCGATGAGCTTCGGCTGCACTTTCCTTCCACGAATTAAAGCAGAAACATAAAACATCCCGCAAAAGCTGATTAATTACCACAAAACTCGACATATTTGACAAAGTGAAAAACAGGATTTTTGTATGAAACTAAAAGCGATATAAACTTACGATTATTGACAGATGTTTAACCTCTCTGAAACCACCGAAATCAGCTGTCACTATGAAACATTCATAACAGCCAGAGCCATCTTTTGAAAGCTCATCGATCATTCTTTACGATCAGTTCACTATGGGGCGCGGTGAAGAGTTTTATAAACAGAGTTTTATAAACAAAAAGAGTTTTATAAACAGTGCATTTGATAAAATATTGAAATTAAAGGGAGGTTCATGTTTTAGGGATTGTGTAAGTATAATTATATTATTAAGAAACAATTTATATAAAATTTATGGCCGCTTAGACGGAATGAAGGTAGCGTCGTATGATGTGTTTTCAAAAGTTCGAGGAGCTTAAATCCTAAATTTAAGAAGAGTTCTACAAACCAGGGTTCTATTCTGGGTTTTTTAACCATAAAGCCATGTGGCTTTTTAATGAAAATATAAAAAAAAATATTATGAAATGTGTAAAAGTACATATGAGTGATAAGAAATCTGCTATCTTCCATAAAATTATTTCTCAATGAATGATTATCTTGCTAAGAGCAGCGAGTTGCAATATATTTCTGACGCCGTAATGTAATTTCACTTTCTTATAATGTAATTTCACTTTCACTCTAATGTCACTGTCACGTATAATTTTATTGTTTCTGTTTCGAAAATGGTGGTGTTTCAGATATATTGCTCAATTAATGAATTTCGTTATTTTTTCTCAGCTAAGTCACATGGAAAACATACATTATTTTGTGAAACTTTTTAATATATTATTACCGTTAGTAACGGAATACTCGTTCTTTTCTAATATTTGAAATGAAACTAAATAATCATTAAATCGGCATTGGTTTACGCTACGAAAATATTCAAACATTGATAGAGATATATTGACACAATTAAGAAATTTCAAGTTAAAACAATTTCAATTAAATTCCAGTTTTTTTTTTTTTTTTTTTTTGAAATTTTTAAATATTTGTTCCTTTTTTCTGATGGCTTTACGCTATTCAATTGAGCAAAACATGATTTTAGACATGATCTAGTCAAAATTAATGAAAATTAATAAAATTCTATATATTGAAAAATTAAAAGTAATTAAATTTAAATTAATTTATAAAAATTAATTAAATTCAATATAATTTTATAATATGCTATTGATCATCATATCCTCTGTTGAGAAAGCGCTAGGAACAAATACATTTACAAACAAAAATTTTATGAGTTTATATAAATATACTAAATAAATAAAGATTGAATTAAGTAACGAAAACAATGAACGTACATAGAGAAACAATTATTGTAAAATTACAGTACGGTAATGACATTTATGGTAAATTAAACCAAAATATTCGGTATTTAAATTATTTATTTGGTAATATTTCCACTCATATGGTAACGGTTTATAAGAAATTCTGTTTTTATAAAAATATAGTTTTACCAAACATATGGTAAAAATACAATACTGAAAAGTAAGTTTAACCGATTAAATGGGGTTTTTTTGCCGATTCCCTAAAGCTTAAAATTGATAATGATAAAACTCTAAATTTTATTCCAAATTATAAAACCATTGTTCATTGTTAATTTTAACAAAATCAATACCAAAGTGTTTTGGTAAAAATTATTGACATTTTTGATGTTCCCATAGAGCCAAGCAAATGTTTACTTTATTACATTCTGGTGGTTTTAAACATGCATTTTTTCTCAGTATATAAACTTCTAAGCTTATCTAATCAAACTCACTTACCTACTTCTTCCACTGAGCTCCTCAATATTTATTGTGTGGTGCAAATTACATTTATATATTTCAATAAATTACAGAAAAAAGAAATCCGTTGAATTACTTGAAAATTAGAGATCAGCTTAATGCATAATTGTGTTTAATATACCAACTTGCTTGATAAGTTAAAATATTAAGATACGTTTTAAATTTAATATATTAATATACCTTTATTTTAAAATGATTTTTTTTAAAAGCGTTATTAAACAGAATTATTTATGTTCTCTAATAGATCTTAATCGAATCATAAGGAAAGTATTTGGACGTGGAAAGTGAGGGCACAAAATTAAGCGTATTGAATGCTTTCCAGTACATATATTTTAAGGGAATAATTACAACGTTCGCAGAAAAAATTAAACTCCATGTATAAGTACAAGTTTATAAATATGAGTCATTTTGTAATCAATAATTTTTACTAAGTTTTACCCAATATACAGTGCTCCAAAAAATGGACCACCCTGAATAACTTTTGATCTAATAATCGAATTTTCACGTTCTAGGACTAATTTTTAACGGTTTAAAGGAGATGAACTCAAATAACATAATTAGTAAGTGCGGATGATATAATGAGTTACAAAATCAGGCACAAAAATGCGCGTTCTCTAATTAAACTTATCTTTGTTTGGGCTTTTGATTTCTGCCCATGAATTTTTGAATTCGAATTTCTGACCATTAAAATATTGGGGGTAGCCCCAATCTGGTAAATATGATCCCAATAGTTTGGTCACGAGGACGCTCAAACATTTTGACCCCTCAATGTAATTTTTTGCTTATTTCGCTATAATATCTTAAGTACTTTTTAGGTGAATTAAAAAGATTTTCCACACAATTATGAAATACATTTATTCTAAGATACTTCCATGTAAAATATACTTTTTATTAAATATTTATTACTTTTTATAATTTTATATATTATTGGTAGAAAATTTTTTGAATAGTAAGATATGCAATTTTTTGCATCATTTTAAAAAACATAATTTTGCGTGAGAAAATACAACTTGAAGGTGACGTAGTGAGGAGTTCTCGATTCTGATTGGTAGTTGAAACGTGGTATTTGTTTACGTTCGCAACTGCTCTTTCCATTAATTTTGAGTAAGCTAAGCCTGTCAAATATCAATTCTCTTAAGCTACACATTCTCTATTATTTCACTAAGATTTAAATTCCTTCACTATATATTTCTTACTTAACAGAAAGCCATGCAGAATCTAAACAAACTAATCATGCATCGAAGCACACGAAATAAAAATATATCACGGTTACAGTAAAATATGTGAACAAATAATAAATGTAAGTTAAGTAAAAGACGTAAACGAGAAAGAAATGTATTTCAACAAATTTAATGTTTGATGCGGTGCTGTATTTAATTTACTTCACATTAATTAACATTCCTACTTACATGGAGAAACTTAGCACAACTTGAACGCACCATTTTGCTTATAAATTATCAGCTGGCCTTGACGTCATTGGACACTAGTGTAGGTATTTTTGATCTTCCTCTTCTTGAAGTACCCTATTACTAAATAACAATACTTTAGTAATGGCAGAATTACATAATTTCTAATGTGGTAGAATTTATTTGACTCTCTATTTTAACTATTATATTATTACAAATATACAAGATTCAGAAATAGTTGGAATGCTTTTATTGAGCTATTTGTACATTGTTGTAAAAGGATTTCAATTGTATAATTTACTATTTGAGCTTTTTTTTTCTAGAAACACCAAAGTTCTAACCTATTTAGAGAAATTATATCTCTTCCGTTCAGTTCAATTGGCTCCACACACGTTCCAGTGGTAGAAAACGGAAACTTTAGATTGAGCAACCACTTCATTCTGCAATCACATCTCAACGGATTGCCTGTAGAAAGAAAAATAAAAGCAACAATAAAGTAAAAGAAAACATTATCTTCTGCCTATAAACAATTGATTATACACTTTGAGGAGCTGTAAATAAATTGCCAAATAGTCATTGACCTCAGTGATGCTAAGTTATTTATAGAAATGGGTACTGTTTGTATAGTAGACAACAGGTGTAGTATTAAGTACTTCTTATGTACAATGTATCAAAAATAAAACGTACCACACTCAATAACTTTAAGTCTAATGATCAAATTTTCCCTTTCTAAGACTCTATCTCAATGGCTCAAAGAGGTGATCTCAAATATGCTAATTATTTAGTTCAGACAATATTTTAAGCAACAAAATCAGACACAAAAACGTACTTTTCTCTGAATAAAGATATCTTATTTTCGATGGATTCGGATTATTATTGTAATTAGATCGGCTGATTAATGTAATCATTGAGATATTGAGTTTTTTATAGCCATTAAAACAGATAAGTACCGAAAGAACAAAGTAGTAAGGTCTAGTCCCATCTCTGTTTTTGCCATGCATTACCTCTTAGGGAATATTTGCGTAAAGCTTAAATTTAACTTTCGCTTAGAAAATTTTTAACCATAAGAAAGTTAATTTGTGAATGAATAATTAAAAAATAAAAACCAATAAATTTCTTTTTCAACCAAACCATATTTTATTTTATAACCGTCTGTGAACCGTATTTTGGGCATACAACTGCTAATGTTTAAATCCGTAGCCTTATAATTTTGAAACAATTCCAAAAGACTAGGGAACTCCTGGATCAATTATTCGGAGAAATTTGCCTTCGCGGAAGAGTTTTGATGGTACAAATCCGCATTTGCATTACACGGAGAGGACCACGAAAACCTCCCACTGTAAGCCAGACAGCAAAAATACTGTAGCCCATGATCCATCTACCACTGAATATATTTTACATCAGCAGTGTGGTCGGTAAGAGCCGGGTGCAGAATTCGTATGGACCAGCCATTGCTGTGATTCGAGCCCAGTACACCTCTTTGGAAGGCGAAAGCTCTATCCCCTGAGCCACCACTGCTCAAACAAACAATATATTAAAAAAGGAGGAAATCAATAATTTAGAGAACATTAAATCCGTGTCTCGCTTGGCTCCCTTATAACCTGGCTCTCCGGGTGACAGCCCAACCCTGCAAGCAAGGATTTCACACGCAGATATCGATCCTAATTGACTGCTGAATCATGGGATAAGCAAATGCGACGATTCCGCAGCCAATAAGACACCCACGCGCAACGTCACTTGCAGGTACCCAATTGATTACGTCAGGTAAGCATAATCAAAATCAACGTGAGGTGACGTCACCGAAATAATAGCTTAAAAGTGTGAAGCTATATTTTTTATAGCTGCACTTTTAAAGAGTGTCTCTATAAATTTATTTAACTTTATATCAACAGAAATTAAATTTTAAAAAGAAAAGTTACATAGCAAAGAGCAAAATTACTTGATTGTGGCAACTTCTATCAATGTTGATACAGTGGCGGTGCTCAGTAGCATCACTTTTAGATGATAAATGATACTGAGTACAGTTGATCTCTGTTTTGATATAATGAATTTTTGCTTAATTGAATAATGTAAAGTCAATGGCTAGGGAAGATAATCATGAAAAATATAGATATTATTAGGGGGTCGTGTGACATTCAGTTTTGCGCATTATTCGCGTGGTGTTAACTAATACCGATTTATTAATTATCTACTTTTTTACTCCGAATGACGAACAAGTATTCAGTAAGTCACGAGATGAGCTTGCATTCCAAAATGTTGTTTGAAACTTTAAACCAGAACAATTTTGCAAATATTCAAAAAAAAAAATTTTTTTTTTCACTTTAATAACAGTGCACACAGAAACTGAATAGTAGTTGTTTTACATAAATAAAAAAAAATGACGTTAATGTTAACCAAACATATTTTTATTTTTTATTACAGTAAAAGTTAAATATGTAATTCTTACAATGCATTTAACAGTATTGGTTTTGAAAAAAAGAATTTTGTGTCTAGTGTTTTGTGAGAAAGGAAACAAAAATGTTTTTACCTGATAACGAAAGTGAAATAACTTCTTTCCAGACAGGAGCATATAGAGTCTCGTCAAGTATATGGAAGTTATTTTCACTCAAATTAATCTTTTCCAACTTTGGCATGTTTGTGAAAAAGTCCTTTGGGAGAGAAGAGATTTGATTGGAACTAAAAACACGAAAACAAATTAATTTTTAATTTTCAAAGTAAGAAAAATTTTTTTAAGAAAATTTACTTGGTGTAAAAACCCTCGCACCTAAGGCTAGTGAATCCTGCAACTTCTTACCATTTACTAAGAAGAGAATAAAAAGCTACTTCAAGGTAGAAATTTTTTTGGTGGATGTTTGGGCTTCGACCATTTTTGAAATTAACTTTATAGTGCGATGATTAATTGAAATAAGTATAAAAGCCACACAAATAAATTATGAAGGAAATCCATGAAAAAATTAGACAGATATCGATAATTGACTTTTTTTTTACTACAGAGCTATTACAAAAAATTTTATTACTAGATACCTACTACAACAATTTTTTTACTAGAGAGCTGCCACAATAATTTTTCTACTAGAGAGCTACTACAACAATGTTTTTACTAGAGAGATACTACAAAATTTTTTACTAGAGAGCTACGGCAACAATTTTTTACTTAAGAGCTAATGCACCATTTTTTTTTTACTAGAGATCAACTACAAAATTTTTTTTAACTAGAGAGCTACTAAGAAAGAAAATTTAAAAATGTAAATAATTGCAAGTCTCCGTCATGAAAATCTTTGCAAATTCTGAATTATTTGTCTTATTGACATGTTTTAGTCTCTTTCATTTCAAAGTAACGAAACGCGCGTTTTGGGGTGACTTTTCGCCCTTTACTAAGTGGAGGGTACTTAACAGTTTGTCTCTGGGTAGAATTTTTAATTTATTTATTACTATTAATTTTGAGATTCTTGTACTTCGACGATATACACCATTTTTACCATACACTTCTTTCTTTTATTTTGCAATACAAGGAAAATGAATAGGAACTGGACATTTTATGAAACTTACATTATTTTTTTTAAATAATAATAGTACATGCACCTAAAACATAACATTTAATTATAAATGCAACAAGATTTTAAACGAATTCAATCATACTTGTTTTCGTATATCTGTATACAATATCATAAAGAGAAAATGGTCTAAAATCGTTTCTTATTGTTGTTAATTTGATTAATTATTAATCAATTTAATTAAGTATTTCTTTATTTAATTAATTATTAATAAATTAAATTATTAAATAATTTAATTAATAATTAATTTAATTAATTATTAATTCAATTAATCGTTGATTCAATAAATTATTAAATTATTAATTAATTTAATTACTTCAATTAATTATTGTCTGATTCAATTCATTTTTAATTAATTAAATTCATTATGAATTAATTCAAGTAATTTCAAATTAATACAACAAATTTTTTATCAATAAAAATGTATTACCTTAAATTAATCATATAAAGTTTCTTTGCTGGATTCGGAAGCATGCCTCTCTTCATCTCTGAAATCTTGTTTTCTTGTAAATCTACTTTCCAAAGTTGAGCAAATGATGCGAATGCCTGATCACTAATGTACGAAATTCTGTTGCTTCCTAGGTATAAAAATTCCACATAGGAAGCACAACTCACGTCACTATCAATATACTCCAATCCAATGTTATTTAATTGAATATGGAACACTCTTTTCAAATTTCTCAACTGACACCAATCTAAGTCCTTAAAAAGAAAGGAATCACGTATTTCGATAACTCTTAAATCTTTCTCTAATCCATCAAAAGCTGTGTCCGTATCACTGAGAGAGGAAAGAGTAGTACTCTTTATTATTATCGTATCTATCTTAAAATCTTGGAACAAATCATGAGGAATGTACGAAAAGTCAGAATCCGATATAGTCACCGTTTCAGATCCTGTGAGCGAGTTACCTTCATTAGACTTATAAAAAGCTTTTCTTAGATTATCGGGATTATCAATTCCTGAGCATTCTATTTCGTAACCGTATATTGTGTTGATGGTTCTTGCGCAGAATGAGGCTGCTTGTTTCATTTGAATACATTGCACGGAGAAACATAAAATTAAAATAACACTGTTGAAAACAGTCATGATTGACTTTAAACTTGAATGTCTATGCGATAAACTGAAACCTAGGCATATGGTCCATTTTATCTCAATTTTAAGAACAGATAATAAGATACAACAGATAATCTGACTACTGGATTGAAAGTGAAGTATATAATAATCGAGTAAACAATAAAATATCTTCAAGCAAAATAATAAAGAAATTTGGAACTATTTCTTGCGATTTTACTCATGTATTTAACATTAAATAATATAAAAACTTGTGGCACCCTTTCGAAATTTAAATCGCCTCCCGGAACCTCTGTCATTAAATATTCGTCTTTGGAAAGATATTCAATGTATGCATATAATGTATGATAAAGTGATGAAAATTGAAATTATTTCATCTCGTGTTCAAAAGTCGCTCAATTATTTTTATTTTAATGAATGAGAGAGTATAATTAATAATATCAAATATTATTATTTGTAATAATAACAAGATTTAGTTAGTTATAATAATATAAGATAAAATAAAGGTGAAATTACCATTCCCACTCTAAGATATTTTATGATCTGTGCTATACAGCAGACCCAATTCTGAGTTTGCGACTATCAATGTTCAACTCCGTAGCTTTGTAATTTTAAACCCGATACAGAAGACAAAGGAACTTACACACCTCATTGAACACTCTATCCCCTGAGCCATCGAGCATTCTTTTCAGAAGGCCAGTTTTAGGGCCGGGAAAGCCTAGTTGGTAAGACGTTGACAGGCTCGTGTTTGTGAGATCGTGAGTTTGAATCCCACTGGTCGAACTATCTCCGTGTATTCAATGGTGACTGGTGCGCGTTAAATCTGTCGGAGTCACTAAGTCTTCCAAGTTCCCTTAAAGGAAAGGGCTCTCCTGGATCAAGCATTGGGAGAAATTTGCCTTCGAGAAGGACTTTTTGAAGAAACTCACCCGCTTTTCTGTTGCATGGAGTGCAAAACCACGAAAATGTCTTACGATTAACCTCACGGCCTAGGGAATCCAACTTATGATCTATCTATCACTCTGGATATTTAGTGTCAGCACGGTGAAACCAAGTTCGGAATTCGTATCAACCAGCCATCGATGGTATTCGAACCCAGTTCACCTCATTGGAAGGCGAACGCTCTATCATAGCTTCTATAAAATATTTTATTGTATTTTTTTAACCGTCGTTGAACAGCCGACCGAATTTTCAGTTTACAACTACCAATGTTTAACTCCATATCCTTGTAATTTTGAGCCCAACTCAGAAGACAAGAGACATCCTGGATCAAGTATTGAGAGAAATTTGCCTTCGTAGGGAACTTTTGAAAGGAACTAACTTGTATTTGCGTTACATAGATTAGAAAACCTTAAAATCTCCTACGATTAGCCAAACGGCAAGGGGGCTCTGCCATTGTTTTGGGTGTTTATCTTTAAATTTCATACTGATTTTCTGCGCAAAAAGTGCAGTACATAAACTTCAAATAAGGAAAGTTTGTAAAATAATGTAATAGGAGTAGTATGAAATAAAAAAAAATAACGATTGATTATTATTAGCTTTATAATCATTATCTGTTAATCTTGTAGTTTAATGGACCACTGGCAAATAATTAAAGCGTTGAAATAGGATAAAAGATAAGATAAAATGATAATTTTCATTTATATAATAAAAAATAAGTTGTGGCTTCTTTTTCAAAATTCGAATTTATTCGAAAACTAGTTTTATATTAAGGGCTTTTTCAGAAAATTCTTGATCTATGTTTTCTTTTAAATACTGACCGATTATTGCAAAAAGGTTAATTTCTTTCTGGATCTTTAATTTATATGCTTGTTCTTGAGTTCATGTCAAAAGTAATAATACGGGAACAATGAAAAAGAGATTAAATTTTACCAGATAAAACATTTTAACATATACGTTGAAATTTTTATAAATAACTATAATTCTCTCTTAATTGTTATAAAGACATAAGTTTACTTATACATACCGTTAACGAGCACATTTGCTTCACTTTAAATTCTTCTCATTGTCTCACGCCCTTTATTTTTCTCACTTAATTTTTTTTATTTTATTTTATTTTTTTATATTTTTTTTTTTGATTACGCGAATTGCTTTTCAAAATTAGGTAGTTGTGTATTTTGATAAGATTAAAAAACTTGCAAAATGTGCTTACATAAATTTATAATAATTATAATTTTTTTTAACAGAATGATCTTTGCTTTTTTTAAAAAAAGAAAAAAAACTTGAAAATAATGATCAATGTGCATACATCAAATAATATACGACTGGAATTTTTCTATCATAAGCAATCCGTCTTCGCCTGTTGCCCCATAACATTTTTTTTTCAGCTTCCATACTTAATCCAATCAATTTTCGCAAAAATTATGTTGTCTTAGGTTATTAACGCTAAATTCTTAAATTAATATTAAGAAAAGATTTAATATTAAGATAAGATATCAAGGTAGAAAGCATTTTGAAGTAAAAGCAAACAATAATTCTCTTCAGGAAGTTCATAAATCAATTTGACTTAATAATTATTAAGGGTGAACTCTATAGTTAATTATATTGTCAATTTTAACAACATATATTATTCGAAATTAACTTAACAATTCGCTGCGCTCCTTTGTATATTTGCAAAGTTAAATTCGAATCTGATTTTCTCTGCTGCCTTCTATAATTTAACAATGAAAACTGCGTTGCACCTTGTCATATTAAGAGAAAAGAATTGGGAACTTGCGCTTCAAGAAGAAGACATATACCAACGCATATACACATATACCAACACACATGACCTATGCCGCCAGCTCCAGCTGATCGTTTGTAAGCAAAATGGCGTGTTAAAGTTGAGCTAAGTTTCTCCACATAAGCTTAAATGTTTATTAAAGTAAAGTGAATTAAATAAAGTGTCGTATCGCACATCGAGTTAAGTATAATTCTTTCTAGTCTGCGTCTTTAACTTACTTAACTTAGATTTATTATTTGTTTATGTATTTCATTGTAACCATGAGTGATATGTTTTTGTTTTGTTTACCCCGCAACTTCGATGCATAATTATTTTCATTTTGTTCTACATAGCTTCATGGCTCTCTTTGTGTTAAATTAGAAATATAAAGTTTTGGCAAGAAATCGGTTGCGTTTATTATAAGTCTGCATGTTTAGTGTGGTGTAAAGGTGGAGGTTTGACTTCTATTCGTGATATTTCCGACACTGGTACTGCTTTTGAACTATCATCTTCCGGCAATGGCATATTTCAAAGTATTCTGGAAAATTTCAACGAAAAATTTTGATGTTACACAATTGCATATGTGAAGAATTCAATCCACAAACTGGAATAGAGGGGCTAATTCCAAAAAACCGGGTCACCACTTATCTTTGGCGAGAAATCGGTTGCGTTTATTATAAGGCTGTCGCCAAAGATAACAAAAGGGAGATAAGCTAAATTTAAACATAACTTTAATAAAATTTAACAATAAAATTAAAAACATACAAGAATAATCGAGCAAGTAAAACTGAAAAAAAAAACGTAATGCAGATTACGAAAAGAGAAAAGAAAAGAACAAAGTATCACGATGGTTTCGATGGTAACGAAGTTCTACGATGATCACATTTTTTTAATTCAGTTCGAAGAGATTACAAAAAACTAGCAGACTTCGCTCCCTGCTCGCGCATTGGATACGTTCTTAACGTCTAGCTTTTGTATACTTTTTTGAACACTGAAGTTTGCATTTCAATATTAATTTGAAATTGCAAACAGTTCACATATTTTTCTTAATCACACTATTCTAAATTTCAGTTGTTGAGAAAAGTAACTTTTGTAAGTTTTGTTTTAAGGTCTTTACCCCCAGAGGGCTAAAACCATGAGTTGTAAAACTGTATGAAATAGTACTGAACGCCGGATGTAAAGCATCAGCTTCGATGAAGATAATTTTGTGAGAATGTTTTTGATAATTCGGTGAGAATTCACCCGATTAGACATATGATATGCTCACTACGTGCTCTTGCGCGCCGAAGCCTATCAATTGGGTATAATATAAAAAAAAAACACAACTACTTCCACTTAGTAGGAATAACATTTACCATGACGCAATGCTAAATTCTATGCCACTATCCACATAAATCAATTATTAATCAAAAATCGAATATCAATTACTTTTCTTTATAATGCAATAAAATCTGGCGAGCAGCTATTTAAACGATCAAACACTTCGTTTGTTTATTTGTGGCTTGAAGTTAGGCTCGCAGAAAATTCTGTTCATGGGTTAAATTTAGTAGGAATAACACAACCTGTGACGTAGGCTATAGTATACCTCACTTGTAGGCATCCCATTCACCACCAGTCTGTGATAGTTTCAAAGTTGAAGGACATGTTGTTCTCCCACTGGTAGCTTCCTTATTTTAGCGACTACTGACAATTTCGTTAAGAATTATTTGGTGTTTCATTATTGTAATTTGAAACTTCAGTCATTTTAATTCTTATACTTTAGTTTATATTTGATTTTTGATGTTTTCGTGATTATTATTTCAAAGAGCCCATTGTTTACATTTGCGTTGAATCTAAGAGAATTTATAACATTATAATCGCAGTTTTGGAGATATGTAAATAAACAAAAAAAATTGAAGCTGGATTTTTTTTTCTTGTATTCTTGCATCTGAAAATAATTATTAATCTTCCCTTTTAAAGAACGTGATGGAAAATGTTAATATTCAATCTTTTTATTTTTGGAACGTAACGCACCTCGTTTATTTAAGAAAAATCCTTGAAAGTTCTAAAAATATTAAATATTTCTTAGAAATGAATATCGTTGAAAATGAAATGGTCGGAAATCCACACTGTTATGAAGTATCTTATGTTATACTATGGACCGTTGAAAACATTAATAGTAATAGCTGGAACTAGTGTTAATTCGCCGTAAACAATATCTGATTGGTTTTTGTTGCTAACGCTTTTCGAATTAAAATGTCAACGGGTTGATGGCAGTGTACAAATGTGTTATAAAAAATATATAGATTGCACATTTTCTAGGTTATGTCAGTGAAAAACAAAATAAAAGAATATCTGTTAACCTTTTATTCTCCAAGAAAATATAATTAGATTCAAATAAGATACATTAAATTTAGAGCCATTTTTTCAGAAGCACGAAAGTTCTAAGTGTTTTAAAGATCTCAAATGTCTTCCCTTCAATTCATTTGGTTCCACGCATTTTCCGAAAAATCCAGCCTCCGGAAAACGATGAAGAAGTATCCACTTTATTCTACAATCGCATATCAATGGATTACCTGGAGAATTGAAAGTAAAGAAGCAATATACTTCAATAAAATATCGATCTCAAATAAAACAACAGAATACAACAATAAAAAACAACATTGAAAAAAAAATTATGTATATATACAAAGTTTTTATTTCAAAATTCTGATCTTAAAATCATTCAAATCGTGATTTAAACCACTCTGTTACTGTTGCACGGAGTTCAAATCCTTTTAATTTAGATTGAGTTTAAATACCAAAATTTGTAATTTTAATTTCTTATTCATACGTTCTTGTTGCTTATTTTTCAACATTTTTTTGCATCATAATTATATTAGGAAAAATTCATGCAAGATTATTTTTCAAAACAAAATCAGAATATTTTAAATGTTTGTATTAAAGAGGAATTAATATAGGTCAGAACAGCGTACACAGTTTCTTTTTTGAATAATTAATTGAAAGAAACAATTATCAAAACTGAAAGAAGGAACTAGTCAAAGGGATACAAGATATGAAATATCAACGGAAACTCATACAAAATTATTTTCAAGAACTTAACTCTTTCACGGAATTGCAAATTAAGGCTGCAAATTCTAGGTAGGCGACACTACTACGACCTCCTCGTGTATTCTTATTGAAGAAGCATGCTCTAAATATTTGTTATTTGAGGAATAGGGGTAGCTAAAATAGCTAAACGTTTGGAAGCAAATAGTCAAATATTTCTAATGGCTGAAGCATTTTTGTATTAAATGTTGCCAGACTAGCAACATTTCACCGTAAATGATTAAAACAAAAATACAAGGTTTATTTTTTTTAATCTAACACGAAATTAATAATTGCCATGCTAGTGTTCACATAGTTCCTTTTACTTTAATTGAAAGATAATCTTTTTGATGCAATACCAAAGATAAATCATTCAGCACTTTATACAAAATGAAAGCAAATATTTAAATAATAATATTAAAAAAACAAATATAGTACCTTCTACAAATATTAAGCAGAAAAAATTTCTTTTAGAAGGGTGCGAACAGTGAGCGATCAAGAGTTTGGGAACCATTTCTATCTAAATTAAGATATTTAAAAAATAATATTTAAAAAATACAAATATAGTAGGTACCTGCTGTATGAAACACATCTATGTTCTTCCAGATGGGAGCAAACAGTGTCTGGTCAAGAGTTTGAAAACCATTTTTATCCAAATTAAGCAATTTTAGATTTGGCATGTTTGTGAAAAGATCAAATGGTAGAGAAGAAATTTTGTTGCGACTGAAAATATAAAAACAATATTTAGTTTTAAAAGTAGTTTTCAATATTTCTGTGGTTAAATACTGTTATACAACCCACTTTTCATTGTTAACTGTATTAAATTTCTCACCGTTAGTAAGAAACAGAGAAGATTAAAACTAGATATAAACGATGGGTGAAAGTGCCCTCCCGAAAGAGTAAAATATCTAGGGTCTGGTCTAAAAAATTCAAAAAATTCTTTTTATGGCATATTTTGATTTTGGAGCATATGTGAGCGGAACTGCTTTGTCTGAAAACTATTTGATATAGTTGCAAAACGCGATCAATGGACAGACCATTCCATGTCGTCGAGGATGCAATTTACCAAGACCTATCAAATGACAGTTTATTGGAAAGATGTGTTGTGAGAATATTCAAAACAATAACGAATCGCTAAATTTTCTTATTTTGGCATTTTCTCCAAAATATATCTTTTCCAGTTGAGATCTGACAGAAATTGTCAATTATTCGACTACGGTGATCTTCAACGATGATTTCATGGTGATTGCCAGCTTGTAAGATGTCATGAGTATTGGAATTGGGAACAGTTTAAGTTTTGCAAAAAACTTAAACTGTTAAAAAGACGCAGCGCGGATCGTCTTGTACTCTAGGAGCATCGCTCCTCTTCCTCCAGCATAGATGAGCAGATGGAGAAGCGCTTCCTCCATCTGCTCCGCTGAAGAAAGTTGTGTATGCCAACAAAATGTATGCTTTCGGGGAAGGCGTGCTTTATGATCTAGGTATAGCAGATTAAAGATAAGTCCCAAAAAAAACCCGTATATAAATGATTTGATGCTTTAAAAAAATTAAATAAAAAGTATAAAAAAATAGTGATTGCTGAAAGACTATCACAGGTTACCCATTGTCAAAATGGTTGCTGTCTAATTATTTTTCCTGTCTTCGCTCTTTGGCTATAACTTTTTCAGCCTCGGTAAGTTTTGACCTTGGCACTGTTTTTTTTTTTTCTTGCTTCAACTCTCACATTTGGGACCGTGTCAATTAATTTGGAACCCTCTTTATTTGTGATATTTATCTGAATTAGTATTGAAGATCCAGTTTGAACTGTCGGTAAGAATTTCTGATTCCTAATTAAAACAATAAAAACAAAAATATCGTTCAAATGATGAAATTCTCTTTTATTCGCAACTCAAGAAGTATATATGGGATCTCTCTGGCCGCATATCTCAAAAATAAACTAACCAACTTAATGCATAACAAAATTAAAGCGGGAAAAAAAAGAATTCTAAAAAATTATCAAACAGCAGCGGTCGCCATAGCAACGCATGCAGTGACGACGTATGTTTACTATTAGCGCACTGTTTACTATTACTCTTGAGCACAGTTGAAAAGTGTGATGACGTCCAAACAAGGTGCCCACCACCTCAAACCCAAAACAACACCCATTTTGCCGATGGGTAAAAAAAAATGTCCTTTAAAAGAATTTTTTTTTTTATTATCATTTGGATTACGGGAAAATAACTCGATCGATTTTGGTCACTTCGAAAATTATTAACGAATTTATGTTGCTATAGTTTTAATCAGCGAAATGGCTATACTTCCATTTTTCCGAAATTTCAATTTTTTTTTTACCTATGCTTAAAATCCAAAAAAATCACTTTTATTGTCCTTTTTTTTAAAAGACCACCATTTTTTGAAAATTGCCTTTTTTAAAATTTTTTTTTTTAAACCTTAACCATAACAACCCTTATAATAATCGTTGGTTTTTTGGTCTCATCTGTTAAAGATTATACAGTATGGAGCTGAGCCCTTCCATCAATGTTCGGCGGGCTCTGACATCTTCGTCATCATTTTAATATTTTATTTATAATTTTTTCGGGTTAAAAAAAATTTAAATTATATCTAAAATGTGAGGAAATAAAACTATTAAATCATTATCTAACTTAGCCTTCATTTCACTGAGAAAAAAAAATTGCTTAAGATAAGGCTTAAATCGAATCTCTAAACAAGAAAACGACATTAAAAAGTGTTAGAAAAAGTACGTGCATTTTTGTCTTCGAATACTTATTGCATGTAACTTAATAAAGTATTGTGCTGATAGCTCTCAAAAATTGCCGAAACATGGCTATTCAAATGTAAATATTCTAGTGTGTACAATATAGATCATCATGTTTTGTCGGGAGAAAAGATAGGAGACAAATTGGGGAAAAAAGTACCAGGGCTAAACTGCCAGGGCTTCTGATGCAGTTTTTCAAACAAAATTGAATGTACTGAGCCCGAGACGATTAAACAAATAGTTAAAAAGGCTTTTCATAGCTCTTTCTCCAGGGAAAATTAAAAAAGCCACAATTAAAGTGCTTTATACTTGATGCAAAGCTTTAATTTTAAATTATATGTGCCATCGAGTTGAAAAGAATTACCGCAGCGGGGGCTACTTTGTGCAAATTCGAATTTGGCATTTTCAAGTGCTGCTATTCAGTATTATGTTTATTTCACGCTAAAAATGCGTGGAATTTGAAGATAGAAGTCTCTTCTATTACTACAAAAAAAAATTCGAATTTTAAAACAATCTCAGAGTGTGTTTCGTTCATCCAATGTCAACAACTTTCCGAGGACGTCGGATGTCGAAAAGTGTGCGTGGAAACTTTAGCTGTGAAATGCAAAGACGTTGATAAAACAATTGTCGTAAGTGCAAAATTTTTTATTTATATATTAATAAACAATTATATCATGTTAGCGTTAAAAAAATTTGAAAATTAATAACAAATAAACGGAAAATGAAAAAAAATGCACTTTGGGGCTACTTTGTGCAAAGTTTCATTCGTTTTTTTTTTCGACAGAAAAATGGTCAGACGTTATAAAAAAATACCTGGAACGAGAAACTACCGTGATTACACTTTAGAAAAGCTGCAACAATGTTTGCAAGCAGTTGCTGGTGGTATGTCGATTGCAGAAGCTTCTCGGAAGTACAAAATCCACAGAAATACTATCTCTAATAAAATTCACAAGAAACACGTGAAACTTCCTGGTAAACTATTATTTTTCTTCTACAAAGATTTTTCTAATGACTTAATCAAACGATTTAACACATAAAAATATATTTTATAGGACATCGGGTAATTTTGACAGAAACTGAAGAGCAAGTTCTGTCATGTTCATTCAAGGATGTTATGTTCAAATTTAACAATATTATAAATGTTAATGAATATGTAATAATTATTATTTTTAAAATTTCATCCATTTCAATGTTTAAAAATGTATATGGTTTCCTTTTGTTTAAACTCAAATGTTTTGAAATAAACATTCTTTTTAAGAAAAAATTCTTCAAAAAAAATGGTTTTTTAACGCTGAAAATTATTTTCAAACTAATATCTTTACATATCTTGATGTTTTTGTCTTTAAAAATGTCAACAATTAACTTTTTTAACAATTTTATATCAATATTTTACTAAAAACATGATTATTAATCTGAATTCCTATCGCTGCACAAAGTAGCCCCATTTGGGTGCTACTTTGTGCAAAGTATGTTTTGACTTATTATTCGTAAATATTACATACAAATAATGCCAATATTGATCAAATTCACTCGTTTGAGTCCAGTTATGAATACAATATCGATAAATTTAAATAAAGTTTGAATTAACATAGTTTTTTTACATGTCAAAGTTCAAAAACGGTGAAATCCTGCACAAAGTAGCCCCGAATGACGGTATCTAGGCTTTAGAACTGGCAAATTAACTACCAAAAGGATCTAAAATAATTAAACTTTTTTTTAAAAAAAAATCGCCCATTTGGAGATTTTCTCCAACCTAGAATAAAATTATCGAAATCAATACTTTATTTCCATTTTGTACAGTTTTTTATGAGCCCAGATAATACAGAAATGCAGTCAATTTTTAAATATTAAAATATCAGACGACAAACACGGTTTCTTTTCTCTAAACTGTGGCTTTCCTACATATTGACGTTTTGTGCTATTTTCAGAATAAACATGGAGAATAGCGCTAGCTAAAGATAGGATAAACATAGAATAACAGTCATGAGTAACTTTACAAACTCACATCAATGATGAAAATAACTTATTGTTTACAAAAAGCATCATTTCATACTGCTACAGATCTTTTAAAAAACAGCTGAAAGATTTATGTGTAAAATGTACAATTTTGTACTTGTACATACACATGTGACATAGCTATCACGGAGCATAAAAGATAGCTTATTATGCTTTATAACACTGAGTCTAATGAGAACAAACACACGGTAATAGGTAATTCATGTTAAAAAAAAAGTACAATTTACGCAATCGGAGTATAGAAATTTCATTTTCAGGCAATTTTAATGCTGAATCGAATATCAACAAATTTAGAAGGTAAAAATGCTTTTGTAGAAAAATACAACTTTATACTTGTTCCTATTTGCACATCTTGCAAGTTATCTTATATGCGGACGATTTATGTATTAGTGAACAGAGAGAGACCAATCACATTAGTTTGTGGAACATATCGTTCAAAAAATGCAAAAGATGAATCTGTATAAATAAATAAAAAACTATTTTTGGACTTATTTTGAATAAACAAACCCTTATCACTTCTAAATTATTTACTCCATAGATTTGGGTTTTGTCGCACTCAATTGTCTTCAATTTCGTCTTTTGAATCAGCTACTATACATCAATTTCAGATGCATCAATAAATAAAAGTTGAAACTAGCATATTTGTATAAACAAAAATCCTTGCAACTTCTGAGCTATGAGTCCTATTGACTCGTGTTCGATTTCATTAGATTTAGCTTACAATAATATATAAACAATAATACCTCCCTTAGAGAGAAATGTCATACGAGTAAATTAATACAGGTACAAAATTGTATTTTTTTGTATATAAAGCGTTTATAACTTCCAGATTAATTCGATTTTCTCTGGGATGATTTCTTTCAATTCAGTCCAAAAATCACATTAAATACAATACTCCATTTGGATAAAAAGTATTATGTATTTTTCTCCCATCATTCCTTCAACTTTATCAAAAGCTGTCACGCACAGTCAGGAAACTTTTTACCACTTACTAAGAGGAGCATACTTAACAGTTTGCAACAAGTTAAAAAAATTTTATGATGTGGACGTTCTAAACTCTATTTTTATAGAACTATTATGATATGTAAAAAGTGAAGAACACGAAAATACATTTGATAATAAGATATACGTAACTTACTGTAATGTATAATGACTTTTAGACTAATTTATGTATTACTTAAATTTATTTACATGCTTAAGTATACAAAAAGGACTTACGACAAATCAATCCATGAGAGTAAGTTCGGAAACATGCTTCTCTTCAACGTCGATATATTGTTGCCAGTTAATACTAATTGTTTAAGATTAACAAATTTGGAAAATGCCTGGTCACTTATGTATGAAATGCTGTTGTATTTTATAGTTAAGAACTCTAAATAAATCCAATGGGTGAAATTCGCATCAATATCAATGTATTCTAAACCAATATCTATCAGCACGATTTCTTCCAGCTGTTTCATGTTTCGTAGTTGGCTCCAATCGAAATCCTCAAACAAGACACAATGCTGCATTACAAAGATCTGGACTCTTTTTTCTGCCCCAACAAAGGCCGTTTCTGTATCACTCAGAGACATTAAAGTAGTGCTATTTATCATTATTTTATATATTTTGTTATGATCTTTCAACAAATCATGAGGAATGTACGAAAAGTGAGACATTGTTAGTTCAAACACTTCGACATCCTCAGTTTTAGAAGAAAATTCATTTTGTAATAATTTGTGATAAGTTTTTCTCAAATTGTCTGGATTATCTATTCTGGAACATTTCGTTATATATCCAATTCTTCTGCAGGTTGGAGAATCTTCTTGCAGTTGGTAACATTCCGAAAGAAAACATAAGGCTGAAACGACCACGTAAAAAACGAGCATGTCAGATTCGTATCTTGAAAAGTTTGTAGGATTTTAAATGCAGATATAAATCGCTGTTTCTATCTTATTTTTTAGGAACACTTAAAAGCAGCTGTTAGAATGATATTATTTCTTATCGTAAAAGAAAAAGATTATTGTTACTTCGTGTGTTATCTATTTTTTTTTTCCTTTTGTTAAAAGTTGCGTTTCTCACCTTACCTTTTTTGCNATAATTCACTGTTTCGATGAAATAATTGTAATTTAACAATTTTTTCTGAGAAACTTAAAGCAGTAAAATTTTATGTAGGAAACTTTTTAATGAAAATTGAAAAATACAAAATAAAAAAATAGGAGAAAAATCGCTAAAATATTATAGTTTCATTCCTCAGAGAATTTTATAAGAATTCCTAGTTAGTAATATACAGATAGAAGTACGGCACAGAAACAGAGTTTAAAAGGATACATAAGAATATGGAAAATGGTAGTAAAAGTGAAACAATTTATTTATTATTTCAAAAATTTCATTAGCTTAATTCATTAACATCATGCTAATTGACAAAACTTCAGGGAAGTAGAGCGCAGAAAGGATTTTGAACACTTGTTGTAACCTTACTTACTGGTGAAGTATAGTTTGGCGTACTTACGGGCGTAAGTACGCCAAATTAAAGCCTTTACTTTCAGAAAATCACTCTCAATATTTTCAGCCAATAAATTGTGCAAAATATTTTTGTGTAAGTCATACTGTATTAAATTTAAGAGAAACATAAATATTAATTTAAAGCGACATTAAATAAAAAAATATTTCACTTAATTTTACATTTTATTATTCCCAGAATGTTATAATTATTTATTTAAATAATGAATATGATGAATCATGAATGTAATAATAGTCCACAGCAGTTCTGACTGTAACCATTTTTAAAGAAGAAAATGTCTTAATAAGTACCTACCAAAATGTAATGAAAAAGTTTAAAAATTTCAACTGTGAATTTTAGTTGAATTTAATTTAAAATACAACAGATAAGCTTAAGAGGAATATGAAGGGAAGAATAGATAAATCATGAAATGTAATCGTCCTGTTTTTTAAGTAAGCATCGTTGAACTTAAAGAAATGTTAAAAAGAAGAAGAAAATCATTACAAGTTCTTTTAGAAAAAAAAGGATTAAGAAAAATAAGCAAAATTTTGAGAAATAAAGAGCACAAAAATAAAAAAATGCTTTTAATACTAAAATACAAAACTGTAATAAGAAGTAATGGTGTGATGTTGGCTTTAAAATTTTGATGAATTCAACTGACGATTCACTTTGGAAACATGAGCTAGCTCAGATAGAAATTACTTCTAACTTGAAATAATATACAACAATTGATTTTGTGATTACAAAAAGTTATTAAATTTGCATTTAAGAAAGCTAAACTTTAATTCTTTAGAACTAATTCAAGAATTGGATGAATGTACAAAATGCATATTTTATATCCAGATAAAAATTATATGCTTTCAACCATTTAGTTTTGAAATGAATTAAAACTGTATTGGAATGAAACAAACATTTTTGTTAACTTTTTAAGTAGTCACAAATTAGATTTTAATATGAATTGCAATATATACAAGTTAAAAATATTATACAAGCTATAAATGAGACTGGTAAAACATTTATGCTAAATGTTTTTAGCAACGTTAAATGTTTATATATGTATATATATCAAGTTTAATGTTAAACTAGATATATATATATATATATATATATCAAGTTTAATGTTAAACTATAAAATTTACTACCATTTTTAATCTGCAATGAAAATCTTCTGATGAATCGAGAGATGTTGGGAGGTACATTTTTCAAAATAATAATAATAATAACTTCAACGAAATAGCATATATAAATATTTATCATTATTCTCAAAGTAAATTTGTACTCTGAATATTGCAAAGTTCGTGTCCACGAGTTTAGTGTGAGGCAATAATATGTTTTGTGACCAAAATTCACAAATGCGCATAAAGAAAAAAATAATAAAAGGGCGAAAAGTTTCTCTTTTTCTTTCTCTCTCTCTCTCTCTCTCTCTCTCTCTCTCTCTCTCTCTCTCTCTCTCTCTCTCTCNGTTTTTCTTTCTCTCTCTCTCTCTCCTTTGTTTTCAATTTTCTACCAAATAAAGTGACTTTAAATTTTCTTGGTTCTTTTTTTTAAAATCATGTAACAGCTTAAATAATAAGGTTAACTTAATCAAATATTTCCTATATTTCGCTTCATATGTTTTATTCTTTGCATGGATTTTTGCTATCTCAAAATGAAACTTTTATAAAGTCACTAAAAAAGCTTTCAAGTTTACTTGATTCGATAATGCTGCCAATTTTGAAAAAAGTTGCTACCTTTTTAACTCATGGCTATGCACCGGTGTTTTATAAAAGTAATGCGTGACAGTGAAAATGGATTAATAGAAGTAGCCTTGTTTGCTGCACAGTCTTGTCAAATTTGATACTGATTAACACAAATGAATCACAAAATTAACATAAAAGAGTCACAATAGAGGAAGAAAAAGATATGCTAAATTTGACCTTACAGTCATGAGTAACAGTAGCAAACTCACAGCAGTTATAAAAAAAGCATTATTTCATATTACGACGGAGCCTTCAAAAAACAGCCTTCTTTGTGACATCTTCAATTATACAGTAAAACATTTTCTTTTAAAATTGTAGACTCGCAAACAATGTTAAACAAGAGTGTAGTTAAGGGTAAGGGTTATTGTTCTCTCCAATTTTTTCGTCACTTATGCACTTTTCAATTGATAGCAATTTTTTATTTATCATAATTTTTTTTCTTCCACAATTTCAAAATAGAACCTATCTTTAAACTATACAAGAAAAAAATATTGTTTGTACCTTTATGGTGAGATTAGATTTTTAAATTCGTGAAAATCGGTCATAATTTCAATTTCCCTTTTTAAATATGATCATATTCTAACCAAGTTTATAAACATTTAGATAAAACTATTTTCAAATAGTTCGAAACTTATCACATTACAAGATAGGGCTTGATTATAATATTTTTTAACCGTCGTTAATCAGTTCACCCAATTTTAGGGTTTACGACTACTAATGTTCAACTCCTTGTAATTTTTGTGATTTAGTCACCTTGTAATGTAAGATAAAAGAACTAACCAGCATTTGCGTTGCATGGAGAGGAAAACTGCGAAACCCTTCCGCGGTTAGCATGACGGCAAGAGGACTCTAACCCGAGATCCGTCTACAACTCATGGTATTTCACGCATGCACTGTGGTTGGTGCAAGTCGGATGCGGAATTCGTATCGACCAGCCATCGCCGTGATTCGAACCCGGTTAACCTCGTGCTTGATTATTATAAAAATGAAATTGCACTCACACATGTCAATGAGAAGATGAAAGGTGCTTCGATACATTGTATGTTGAACCCTTCGCTGAATTTTCGCACAGCTACTAAAAGTGCAATTCCCATTCTGTTAGGAGTGGGGATTATGTTATAATTGAAGCAATTACTGATTCATGATTATTCTACAATTCCCCTATGTCCGTACAAGAAGGAAACTTCAATTGAAATTGAATAAAATAGTTTCATGTGGATCCATTTTGAATGATATATTTCGCAAAGGGCTGCTATGGAAGAAGAAGAAATCCCTATAAAATAAGTGTAATTATCGATATTTAGAAACATTTTAGAGCTGCTGAAGAGTGATTCTGTCAAATAGCAAGAAATGAGGGCAGTTCTTATCCGTAAACTTTAAATTAATCCTTATGCATTAATTAAATTTTAAAAAAAATAAATCTAATATCTTTCAAATACTAACATTTCATTCAGTGTTAAATTAAATTAAATTTTTATGCATCATCCTGAATTCTACCAGCAGTTAAATCCATATAATTATTAAAAGGGTGATATTTCCTGGTGGTTCCTTTTGATGTTTTTTTATTTTATTTTATTTTATTATTTTCTTTGTTTCTTCTAACCAACAAATTAATACAATTTAGAAACAGCATTCACATCCCTTTTGATGTACTCCAATCCAATGTTTTTCGAGTAAAAATATGTTAATGCAATCAAATTTTGCAGTTCATACTAGTCAAGATCCCTGAAAATGAACAAATTAGTCATTCGAAAAACGTCTTAACTTCAAAAGCCCTGTGCTTCAAATGCCCTGCCTCTATCAAAAGGCATGTTCTTCAAATGCCCTGCCTCTATCACTAAGTTCTTCGTCTTATTTTTATTTCATTTGTTTTCACGTGATCTTAGAAAAAATCGTGAGAAATGAACGAAAAGTCTGAACGAATGATAATCCCAGGAGTAATCTCAGACGAGATACATTTATTAAACTTATTAAAAGCTTTTCTTATATTATCTGGATTTTCAATCCCCGAGCATTCTAATTTGTTCTATAACACTCGTCTACCTAACAGCCAAATATGATCCGTCTGCCACTGAGGATATTTTACGCCAGGACTGTGATCAGTGCAAGCCGGGTGTGGAATTTGTATCGACAAGCCATCGCTGGGATTCGAACCCGGTTCACCTCGTTGGATGGCGAACGCTCTATCCCCTTAGCCATCACGGCTCCCCAGCAATCTATTGAGAAGGCCTGTTTTAAGACTGGGATAGCGTGGTTGGTAGAACGTTGATGGTCTCGGATTTGTGAGATCGTGAGTTTGAATCCCTCCGGTCAATCGTGAGTGTGAAACTCACCGGTTTGAATCCAGGATGGGTTACAAACAGCAGAATGAATCTATTTGACTCAAATATTATAGTTTAAAGAACAAGTCATTAAGTTTAGATTAAATTTAGGGCATGAAGATCTTGAGAAATCATTACCAAAAGTTTGTCACCTCTGCTAGAAATAATAGCTTTTATTTTTCTGGATTGGGAATGAAACATATTTCATAGAATTTTTAAAGACTCAATCATTACAGCATCAAGACTTTACTACAGTTCATTAGTGGTAGGCTATTAATCAGTTGCTCCTGAACCATGTACCCGCATTCAATTGTTCGAAGATAAGGTAAACATAACGGTGACAGTTTGTTTCGCAACAAAGAAGCCCCAAACAAAACAAGAAAAAAATGCCGGAAGTCATTATGACGATATCGACTACAAGTTGGTAGTCTGGTACACATCCCTAAGGATGATACGAAGACAAACCATCACAATTTTGATTCTCTACGGAGGATATGGCTACCCCCATTTCAGTATATGCACTCGATGTTGAGCAGCACTTGATTTACGAACGGTTTAACGAGGACCGATACCATACACTTTCATTAAGAAGTATTTAATATTTTCAGATTTTTCAAGGATTTTTTTTAAATAGACGAGACGTGGAACGTTCCAAAAATAAAGAGATTGAATACTAACATTTTCCTTCACGTTTTTTAAAAGGGAGGATTAATATTTATTTGCAGATGCAAGAAAACATGAAAAAAACAGCGACAATTGTTTGAGGGAAGAAATTTATTTTTTGTCGCTTTATATATTTGCAAAACTGCGAGTACAATGTTATAAATTCACTGAGATTCGACGTAAATGTAAAAAGTAGGCTCTTTGAAATAATAAACACAAAACCATCAAAAATCAATATAAACCGGACCAACTAGCCAAAGAAGCCATCAGACTTGACACCATAGAAACCTTCCACCTTCCAACCATTTCTTTTAGAAAATGAAATGGTCAGAATATCGTTGAAAATGAAATGGTCAGAAATCCACACTGTTATGAAGTATCTTATGTTATACTACGGACCATTGAAAACATTAATAGTGATAGCTGGCACTAGTGTTAATTCGCCGTAAACAATATCTGATTGTTTTTTCTTGCTAACGCTTTTCGAGTTAAAATGTCAACGGGTTGCTGGCAGTGTACAAGTGTGTTTATAGATTGCACATTAACTGGATTATGTCAGTGAAAAACAAAATAAAAGAATATCTATTAACCTTTTATTCTCCTAGAAAATATAATTAGATCCAAATAAACAAACTTAGAACTTAGAGTCATGTTTTCAGAAGCATAATAGTTCTAAGTGTTCTAAAGAATGCAGTAATCTTCCCTTCAATTCATTTGGTTCCATGCATTTCCCATAAATATACTTCGGAAAAGGATGATGGAGTATCCACTTTATTCTACAATCACATCTCAATGGATTACCTATGAAATTTAAAGTAAAGAACGAATATACTTTAAGGAAATATCGATCTCAAATGAAACAACAGAATACAGCAATAAAAAAAACATCGAAAAAGATTTTTGTATATATACAATGTTTTTATTTCTTAATTCTGATCATAAATACATTCAAATCGTGATTAAAGACACTCTGTAGCTGGTACATGAGTTTACATGAGTTTGAATGCTTTTAATTTAGATTGAGTTTAAATTCTAAAATTTGTTATTTTAATTTTTTATTCGTTTGTTCTTGTTGCTTATTTTTCAACTTTTTTTTGCGTTGTTATTATATAAAGAGAAATTCATAAAAGATTAATTTTCAAAACAAAATCAAAATATTTTAAATTTTTATATTAAAGAGGAATCAGTGTGCATAGTTTATTTTATTGAATAAATAATTGAAAGATTAAATTATCAAAATTTAAAGGGGAAACTAATCACAATTTGTGAAATATCAACGGATATTCATACAAAATTATTTTCAAGAACTTAAACCTTTTTGCGGAACAACAAATTATGGTTGCAAATTCTAGTCAGGCCACGCAATGCGACCTCGTGTATTCTTATTGAAGAAGCATACTTCACCTCTTTGTTATTTAAGGAATAGTGGTAGCTTGTTTGCATGTTTGGATTGTTTGATATTTTAAGTCGAACAAGAAATTCATAATTGCCACGTTAGTGCTTACATAGTTCCTTTTACTTATATTGAAAAATAATCTTTTTGGTGCAATACCAAAGATAAATCATTCAGCACTTTAGACAAAATTAGAGTAAATATTTTAATATAACATTAAAAAAGAAACAAATATAGTACCTTCTATATTAAACAGATATAAGTTTGTCCAGAGGGGGACAAACAGTGTCTGGTCAAGAGTTTGAAGACCATTTGTATTCAAATTAATATACTTTAATAATATTAGAAAACCAAATACAGTACCTTCTATATTAAACAGATAAAAGTTCTTTTAGAAGGGTGTAAACAGTATCTGATCAAGAGTTTGGGGACCATTTTCATGTTAAGAAATTTAAATAATAATATTAAAAAGAGGCAAATATACTACCTTCTATACTAAGCAATTCTATGCTCTTCCAGATGGGTGCAAACAGTGTCTGGTCAAGAGTTTGAAAACCATTTTTATCCATATTAAGAACTACCAGATTTGGCATGTTTGTGAAAAGATCAGAAGGGAGGGAAGAAATTTTGTTGTCACTGAAAATATAAAAGCAATATTTAGTTTTAAAAGTTGTTCGCACTATTGCTGTGGTTAAATATTGTTATACAACCCACTTTTAATTGTTAACTGTATTAAATTTTACACCGTTAGTAAGAAACAAAGAAGATTAAAACTAGATATAACCAGGTATAAAATAAAAAACTAGATATAACTAGATATAACCACTGGAATTCATCGGAACATTTCTCTTGAGCTTTCGTTTTGTCCGACGGGTCAAAGTGCCCTCTCACAACAATAAAAGGTTTGAGGTCTGGTCTAAAAAATTCAAAAAATCCTTTTTATGCCATATTTTGACTAAGCATATGTGAGCGGAACTGTTTTGTCTATTTACCAAGACCTATCAAATGACAGTTTATTGGAAAGATGTGATGTGCGAATATTCAATACCATAACGAATCACTAAATTTTCTTATTTTAGCGTTTTCTCCAAAATATATCTATTTTAGTTGAGATCTGATAGAAATTGTCAATTATTCGGCTACGGTGATCTTCAACGATGATTTCATGCTGATTGCCAGCATGTAAGATGTCGTGAGTATTCGAATTGGGAACAGTTTGAGTTTTGCAAAAGACGCAACGCGGATGGTCTTGTACTCTAGGAGCATCGCGCCTCCTTCTCCAGCAAAGAAACGCAGATGGGAAAGCGCATCTTCCACCAGCAGCTGCCCTGAAGAAAGTTTGTGCATGCCAACGAAGTGTATGCGTTTCGTGTGCTTTATGATACAAGTATCGCGGATTGACGGCAAGTCCTGAAAAGACCCGAGTGTAAATTATTTGAAACTTTGAAAAAATTAAATTAAAAGTAAAAAAAATAGTGATCGCCGAAAGGCTATGACAGGTTACCTATTGGCAAAATGGTTGTTGTCTAATTATTTTTCCCGTCTACGTTCTCTGGATTTACCTTTTTCAGCCTTGGTAAGTTTAGGCCATGGCTTTGTTTTTTTTTTCTTGCTTCAACTCTCACCTTTGAGATCGCGTAAATCAATTTGGAACCCTCTTTCTAATTATAATTCCGGTCTACGGTCCTCCCGTCTGCGTTCAGCCTCGGTAAGTTTAGGCCTTGGCATTGTTTTTTTTTCCTTGTTTCAACTCTCACCTTTTCAACGATGTCAATCAATTTCGGACCCTCTTTATTTGTGATATTCACCTGAATTAGTATTGAAATCGATCCAGTTTAAACTGTATATTAGAATTTCTGATTTCTAATTAAAACAATAAAAGCAAAAATATCGTTCAAATGATGAAATTCTCTTTTTTAACAATTCAAGAAGTATATATGAGATCTCTCAGCCGCATATCTCAAAAATAAACTCACCAACTTAATACATCAAAGCTTCCCCAGTCAGGGGGCATCCGGAGAATACTGTAGACTCTAAAGCGCACGCACGTGACATCTCAGTAAAAAAAAAAGAGGATTTAAAAAGGTAGGCTTGATTGCGATTCATGGCAACACCAGAAGGCCTCAAAGAATTTAGTGAAATCCTAAATTTAACAATAGTAGTTACTCCGAAAATAGAACTTAGGAGTTTGAGTGTTCAAACATATTAGGCGAAGCATTAAAAATAATAATAATAAAGAAAACAGTGAAAAAGGGTAACAAACATATTGTGAGGATGAAAAGTACAGGAATTTGTTCAATGCCCATGAAAACAGACACAATTTCAAAAAGAAGAGTTACGGCGAGGCAGCCGTAAAGAAAAATCCAGAAGCAAGAAGAAACTCAAAACATGAAAAGTTAGAACATATACAGTGAAAAACATATTAGGCGAAGCATTAAAAATAATAATAATAAAGAAAACAGTGAAAAAGGGTAACAAACATATTGTGAGGATGAAAAGTACAGGAATTTGTTCAAAGCCCATGAAAACAGACACAATTTCAAAAAGAAGAGTTACAGTGAGGCAGCCGTAAAGAAAAATCCAGAAGCAAGAAGAAACTCAAAACATGAAAAGTTAGAAAATTTCACAAAATTTTGAACAATAATTTAATCGAAAATTCGAAATTACCAACTCATTAGATAACAAAATTAAAAGGGAAGAAAAGAATTCTAAAAAATTATCAAACAGCAGCGGTCGCAATAGCAGAGCATGCAATCACGACGCATGCGCACTATTTACTATTACTCTTGAACACAGTTGAAAAGTGTGATGACGTCCAAACAAAGTGCCCACGCCATCAAACCCAAAACAACACACACCCAAAATCTTCATTCAAAAGCATTTTTATTTATTTTTTTTTTGGCATTTGGATTGCAGAAAAATAACTGAATCAATTTCGGTCGCTTCGGAAATTAGTAAAGAATTTATGTTGCTATTGATTTTTTGGTCTCATCTGTTAAAGATTATACAGTATGGAGCTACGCCCATCCATCAATGCTCGGCGTGCTCTGACATCTTCGTCATCTATTTAATATTTCATTTATAATTTTTCCGGGTTAAAAAAAATTTAAATTATATCTAAAAGGTGATGAAATAAAACTATTAAATTATTATCTAACTTATCCTTTCATTTCACTGAGAAAAGAAATTGATCAAGATAAGGTTTAAATCGAATCTCTAAACCAGAAAACGACATTAAAAAGTGTTAGAAAAAGTACGTGCATTTTTATCTTCGAATGCTTATTACATGTAACCTATTGGAGAATTGTAAAGACAGCTCCAAAATTGTCGAAAAACGACTGTTCAAATATAAATATTCTAGTATGCGAAGAATTGTTAAACACACACTTAAAGCTAATAGATTATGAGTTGTACAATGTATCAAGTTTTGTCAAGAGGCAAGATAGGAGAAAAATTGGGGAAAAAAAGTACCAGGGCTAAAGCTGTCAGGACTTCTGATGTGGTTTTCCAAACTAAATTGAATGTGGAAAAGACCGAAGCGATTAAACAAATAGTTAAAAAGGCTTTTCATAGATCTTTCTCCAAAGAAAATAAAAAAAAGCCACAATTTAAGTGCTTTATACTTGATGCAAAGCTATAATTTTAATCTATGTATGCCATTTTGCTGAAAGGAATTATCCGGGCTTTAAAAGGGGCAAATAACTAAAATATTCTAAAAGTAATTAGGCTTTTTTAAAAAAAAAATCGCCTATTTGGTTTCATTTTCCCACCTAGAATAAAATTATCAAAATCTATACGATATTCCAATTTTGTACAGATCATGAGCCAATATAATGCAGAAATGCAGTCAATTTTTAAATATTAAAATATCAGACCGCAAACACGCTTCATTTTCACTAAACTTTCCCACAGATTGACGTTTTGTGCCATTTTTAGAATAAACATAGAGAGCGCTATTTAAAGGTAAGATAAACTTGACCTAATAGCCATGAGTATCTTTTTCAAACTCTCATCACTTCCAAAAATAGCTTATTATTCACAAAAAAGCATAGTTTAATACGACTATAGAACCTATGAAACACAACCCTAAGGGTTTTATGTGAAAAATATAAAATTTTGTACTTGTACATACGCATGTGACATAGCTGTGCAGACGCATAAGAGATTGAGAGATTGATTATTATGTTTTTTAACGCAGCGTCTAAGGAAAAAAAAATGAGGTAATAGGCAATTTATGTAAAAAAAAAAGGTACAATTTACGCAATCGGAATATAAAAAATTTCATTTTCAGGCAATTTTAATGCTGAATTGAATATCAACAAAGACAAGAAATTTAGAAGCTAAAAATGCTTTTGTAGAAAAATACAACTTTATACTTGTTCCCATTTGCACATCTTGCAAGTTATTCATGCAGACTATTTATGTATAAGTGAACAGAAAAAGACCAATCACATTAGTCAGTAGAACATACGGTTCAAAAAATACAGTAGATGAATCTGCGTATAAAATAAACTGTTTTTTGGACTTATTTTGAATAAACAAACCCTTATCACTTCTAAATTATTTACTCCATAGAATTGGATTTGGTCGCATTCAATTGTCTTTAATTTTGTGTTTTGAATCAGCCACTATATATCAATTTCAGATGCATCAATAAATAAAAGTCGAAACTAGCATATTTGTGTAAACAAAAATCCTTGCAACTTCTGAGCTATGAGTCCTATTGACTCGTGTTCGATTTCATTGGATTTAACTTACAGAAATATATAAACAATAATGCCTCCCTTAAAAGAAATGTCATATGAGTAAATTAATACAGGTACAAAATTGTACTTTTTATATATATAACGCTTATAACTTTTAAATTAACTCGATCATCTCGGGGATGATTTCATTCTATTCAATCCAAAACCGACTTAAAATATAATACTCCATTTGGATAAAAAGTATTATGTATTTTTCTCCCATCATTCTTTCAACTTTGTCAAAAGCTGACACGCATAGTCACGAAGCTTTTCACCACTTACTATGAGGAGCATACTTAGCAGTTTGCAAAAAGTTAAAAGTTTTATGAGGTGGACATTCTAAATTCTATTTTTATAGTACTATTATGATCCGTAAAAAGTGACGAAAACGAAAATACATTTGATAATAAGCTATATATGATACATTGCTGTAATGTATAATGAGTATTAGACTAATTTATGCATTACTTAAGTTTATTTACTTGCATAAGTATACAAAAATGACTTACTTCAAATCAATCCTTGAGAGTAAGCTCGGAAACATGCTTCTCTTCAACTTCGATATATTGTTGTCCCTTAATTGTAAATTTTCAAGATTAACAAATTTGGAAAATCCTTGATCACTTATGTATGAAATGTTGTTGTATTCTAAAAATAACTGCTTTAAATTAAACNAAATTAGGTAGTTGTGTATTTTGATAAGATTAAAAAGCTTGCAAAATGTGCTTACATAAATTTATAATAATTATACATTTTTTTAACAGAATGATGTTTGCTTTTTTAAAAAAAGAAAAAAAACTTTAAAAAAATGATCAATGTGCATACATCAAATAATATACGACTGGAATTTTTCTATCATAAACAATCTGTCTTAGCCTGTTGCCCCATAACATATTTCTTTTCAGCTTCCATACTTAATCCAGACCTGCCAACTTTTAATCCCTTCCATTATCATTTTTCCCAGTGGTATTAAAATGGAATTAAAACTTCAATTTTAAGAAAACAAATGCGTTGTATTTGAAAAAAATTAAGTTGACAACCATGATAGTAACGCATATTAATATATAAGCTTAATTTTTGTAAGAATAGTGGTCATCAAAATCATTTAAAAATTAAATTTATAAAAAAAAATAGTATATATTTACTACCACTTTAAATATGAAAATAAAATCTCCCGCAAAATGCGGGAGAGTTGGCAGGTATGCTTAATCCAATCAATTTTCGTGAAAATTATGTTGCCTTAGGTTATTAACGCTAAATTTTTAAATTAATATTAAGAAAAGATTTAATATTAAGATAAGATATCAAGGTAGAACGAATTTTGAAGTAAAAGCAGACAATAATTTGCTTCAGGAAGTTCATAAATCAATTTAACTTAATAAATATCAAGGGTGAACTCTATAGTTAATTATATTGTCAATTTTAACAATATATTATTAGAAATTAACTTAAAATTCACTGCGCTCCTTAGTGAATTCGCAGAGTTTAATTTGAATCTGATTTCTTCTGATGTCTTCTATAATTTAGCATTGAAAATTGCTTTGCACCTTGTCTTATTAAAAGAAAAATACTGGATACTTGCACTTTAAGAAGAAGATCACATATACCCACATACATGACCTTTGCCGTCAGCTGATCGTTTGTAATGGCGTGTTTAAGTTGATCTAAGTTTCTTCGCATAAGCTAAAATGTTTATTGAATTAAAGTTAAATAAATACAATGCCATATCGCGCATCGAGTGAAGTCTAATTCTTTCTCGTCTGCGACTTTTACTTACTCAACTTAGATTTATTATGTGTTTATGTATTTTACTGCAACCGCGATTGATATATTTTTGTTTTGTGTACCTGGCAACCTCGATGCATAGTTATTTTCTTTTTGTTCTATGTGGCGGTCTTTGTATTAAGTAAGAAATATAAAGTGAAAGAATTTAAATACTTCTGCAAGAATATGGTATGTGTCACTAATGAGATTTGACACTTGACGGGCTTGGCTTACTCGAAATAGAATGAAGTTGCTAACGTAAACAAATACCACGTTTCAACAGCCAAGCAGGATCGAGGTACCCACACTACGTCACTTGTAGGTATACCATTCACCATCAGTCTCTCCTAGTTTCAAAGTAGAAGGACATGCTGTTTTCCCACTTGTAGCTTCCTTAGTTTAGTGCCTACGGACATTTCGCTGAGCATTATTTGGTGTTTATTTAGTGCAATTTGAAACTTCAGTCATTTTAATTCTTATACTTCAGGTTTATATTTAATTTTTGATGCTTTTGTGTTTATTATTTCAAAGAGCCTATTGTTTACATTTACGTTGGATCTTAGTGAATAGCATTGTAATCGCACTTTTTCAGATATGTAAAGCGACAAAATAATTTTTCACTTCCCTAATATAATTATCGCTGTTTTTTCCCTGTATTCTAGCAGCTGAAAATAATTATTATTTTTCCTCTTTTACGAAACGTGAAGGAAAATGCTAATATTTAAACTCTTCATTTTTAGAACGTTACACATTTCGTTTATTTAAAAAAAAATTTGCGAGCTCTAAAAATATTAAATACTTCTTAGAAATAAATATCGTAATAAATGAAAGGGTCGGAAATCCACACCATTATGAAGTATGAAATCTTATGTTATACTACGGACAGCACAAAACATTAATAGTGATAGCTGACAGTCGTGTTAATTAGCCGTAAATAATATCTGATTGGTTTTTGTTGCTAACGCTTTTCGTGTTAAAATGTCAACGGGTTGATGGCAGTGCACAAATGTGTTATGAAAAATATATAGATTCCACATTTTCTCGGTAATGTCAGTGAAAAGCAAAATAAAAGAATATCTATCAACCTTTTATTCTCTTGGAAAATATAATTAGATTCAAAACAGATNGAAACATACCGTTCAATAATACAATAGATGAATCTGTGTATAAAAAAACTGTTTTTGGACTTATTTTGAATAAACAAACCATTACAATTTCTCAATTATTTACTCCATAGAATTGGATTTTGTCGCATTCAATTGTCTTCAATTTCATGTTTTGACTCAGCCAATATATATCAATTTCAGATGCATCAATAAATAAAAGTCGAAACTAGTATATTTGTATAGACAAAAATCCTTGCAACTTCTGAGCTATGAATCCTATTTACTCGTGTTCGATTTCATTAGATTTAGCTTACAATAACATATAAACAATAATACCTCCCTTAGAGAGAAATGTCATATGAGTAAATTAATACAGGTACAAAATTGTACTTTTTGTATAGAAAACGCTTATAACTTTTAAATTAACTCGATCATCTCGGGGATGAGTTCTTTCGATTCAGTCCAAACACCGACTTAAAAAATTTTGCTCCATTTGGATAAAAACGATTATGAATTTTTCTCCCATCATTCCTTTGTCAAAAGCTGACACGCATAGTCACGAAGCTTTTCACCACTTACTATGAGGAGCATACTTAACAGTTTGCAACAAGTTAAAACTTTTTATGAGGTGGACGTTCTAAATTCTATTTTAATAGTACTATTATGATCCGTAAAAAGTGAAAAAAACGAAAATACATTTGATAATAAGCTATATATGATACATTGCTGTAATGTATAATGACTATTAGACTAATTTATGCATTACTTAAGTTTATTTACTTGTATAAGTATACAAAAATGACTTACTTCAAATCAATCATTGAGAGTAAGTTCGGAAACATGCTTCTCTTCAACTTCGATATATAAATCATTCAGCACTTTATGCAAAATGAGAGTAAATATTTTAATATAATATTTAAAAAAGAAACAAATATAGTACCTTCCATATTAGATATAAGTTCGTCCAGAGGGGGGTAAACAGTTTCTTGTCAAGAGCTTGAAGACCATTTGTATCCAAATTAAGATACTTTAATAATATTAGAAAAGAAAATACAGTACCTTCTATATTAAACAGATAATAGTTCTTTCAGAAGGGTGCAAACAGTGTCTGATCAAGAGTTTGGGAACCATTTTTATCCAAATTAAGATATTTAAATAATAATATTAAAAAGAGACAAATATTGTACCTTCTATAGTAAAGCTACCTATGTTCTTCCAGATGGGTGCAAACAGTGTCTGGTCAAGAGTTTGAAAACCATTTTTCTTTAAATTAAGAACTACCAGATTTGGCATGTTTGAGAAAAGATCAGAAGGGAGGGATGAAATTTTGTTGCTACTGAAATATAAAAACAATATTTAGTTTTAAAAGTAGTTCGCAATATTGCCGTGGTTAAATACTGTTATACAACCCACTTTTCATTGTTCACTGTATTAAAGGCAAGGCATCCGTAAAGAAAAATCCCGAAAGAAGAGGAAACTTAAAACATGAAAAGCCAGAAAATTTTACAAAATTTTGAACTATAATTTAATCGAAAATTCGAACTTACCAACTCAATAGATAGCAAAATTAAAAGGGAAGAAATGAATTCCAAAAAATTATCAAACAGCAGCTTTCGCCATAGCAACGCATGTAATCACGACGCATGCGCACTGCTTACTATTGCTCTTGAACACAACTGAAAAGTGTGATGACGTCCAAACAAGGTGCCCACGCCATCAAACCCAAAACAACACACACACAAAATCCTCCTTCGAAAGCATTTTTTTTTTTTTTTTGGCATTTGAATTGCAGAAAAATAACTCGATCTATTTCGGTCGCTTCGGAAATTAGTAATGAATTTATGTTGCTATAGTTTTAATCAGCGAAATGGCTACTGTTGCATTTTTCCGAAATTTCGATTTTTTTTTTTTTCATGTGTTTAAAAGCCAAAAAAAATCAATTTTATTGTCTTTTTTTTCGAATGGCCTCAATTTTGTGAAAAAATGCCTTTCTAAAAGATATATTTTTTATTTTACCCATAACAACCCTCATACATAATCGTTGATTTTTTGGTCTCATCTGTTAAAGATTATACAGTATGGATCTGAGCCTATCCATCAATGCTCGTCTGGCTCTGACATCTTCGTCATCATTTTAATATTTTATTTACAATTTTTCCGGGTTAAAAAAAATTTTAAATTATGTTTAAAAAGTGATGAAATAAAACTATTAAATCATTATCTAACTTATCCTTTCATTTTACGGGGAACAAATTGCTCAAGATGAAGCTTAAATCGAATCTCTAAACCAGAAAACGACATTAAAAAGTGTTAGAAAAAGTACATGCATTCTTGTCTACTAATACTTATTGCATCTAACCTATTGGAGTATTGTAAAGATAGCTCAAAAATTGCCGAAACACGACTATTCAAATGTAAATATTCTAGTATACGAAGCTTGGCCAAAGAATGCCTGAGGAGGCCTTTCCATTTCTCTTCTAACTTTCACTAAGGGTTCGGCCCGAACATGGATGAAATATAGAGCACCTCCAAAACCAGTTCCACTGTCTCCTCTGCATTTTTGGTGAGGGTATTTGTACTTCCTGGGGTGTTAAGTAACATGAAACTAATCGACTAACCACTGTCACGAAAGGGGGATTTCGACGACAATCGTCTCTTGAAGAATGAACTTGGGGTGGAAGTTGCCTTCTTCCCTTACTCAAAGGTAGAAAGTGCCTTATGTTTCAAAGGCAATATTACAAAAAGTAATAAAGATTTAAAAAAATTGACCTACATTTTCGTAGATAGGAAAGATTGAAAAAAATTATTAGTATTTTTTTTTAATTGATCACTCCGATTCTTAAACAAGAAAAATCGATTCAAAGTATGACAAGCCCGCCTTAGACTTTACATGTTAAAAGCAGAATTGAGGAGTCTGCTTGGTTCAACACTTTTCTCCCGGCAACCACTTTGGGGGAAGCGACTTTCTGATCATTTGAGCTCGCCCCGTGTTCTTTGTTCGCCAAGATACGAAGAGTCGTTAAACACACGCTTAATGGTAAGAGATTAAGAGCTGTACAATGTAGAGTATAATTTTTTGTCGGGAGGTAAGATAGGAGAAAAATTGGCGGAAAAAAGTACCAAGGCTGGAAGAAAGTAAGCTGTCAGGACTTCTGATGTGGTTTTCCCAACTAAATTGAATGTGAAAAGGCCCGAAACGGTTAAACAAATAGTTAAAAAGGCTTTTCATAGCTCTTTCTCCAAGGAAAATAAAAATAAATAGCCACAATTTAGGAGCTTTATACTTGATGCAAAGCTATAATCTTAAACTTTGTATGCCATTTTGCTGAAAGGAATTATCCGGGCTTTAAAACGGGCAAATAACTAGTCCAGATAATGCAGAAATGTAGTCAATTTTTAAATATTAAAATATTAGACAACAAGCACACTTCATTTTCTCTAAATTTTTCTCGATATTGACGTTTCGTGCCATTTTCAGAATAAACATAGAGGGTGCTAGCTAAAGATAGGTTAAACATAAAATAACAGTTATGAGTAACTTTTACTAACTCATATCAATGATGAAAATAACTTATTATTCATTAAAAAGCATCATTTTATACTACTACATATCCCTTAAAAAAAGCCTAAATTTTATGTGTAAAATGTACAATTTTGTACTTGTGCATACACATGTGACATAGATATATAAGCGCATAAAAGATTGCTTATTATGCTTTTTAATACTGAGTCTAATGAGAACAAACACGCGGTAATAGGTAATTTACGCAAAAAAAAATTTAATTTACGCAATCGGAATATAAAAACTTCATTTTCAGGCAATTTTAATGCTGAATCGAATATCAACAAAGACAAGAAATTTAGAAGGTAAAATTATTTTGCAGAAAAATACAACTTCATACTTGTTCCCATTTGCACATTTTGCAAGTTATCTATGCAGACAATTTATGTATTAGTGAACAGAAAGAGACCAATCACATTAGTCAGTGAAACATACCGTTCAATAATACAATAGATGAATCTGTGTATAAAAAAACTGTTTTTGGACTTATTTTGAATAAACAAACCATTACAATTTCTCAATTATTTACTCCATAGAATTGGATTTTGTCGCATTCAATTGTCTTCAATTTCATGTTTTGACTCAGCCAATATATATCAATTTCAGATGCATCAATAAATAAAAGTCGAAACTAGTATATTTGTATAGACAAAAATCCTTGCAACTTCTGAGCTATGAATCCTATTTACTCGTGTTCGATTTCATTAGATTTAGCTTACAATAATATATAAACAATAATACCTCCCTTAGAGAGAAATGTCATATAAGTAAATTAATACAGGTACAAAATTGTACTTTTTGTATAGAAAACGCTTATAACTTTAAAATTAATTCGATCATCTCNATCTCGGGGATGATTTCATTCTATTCAATCCAAAACCGACTTAAAATATAATACTCCATTTGGATAAAAAGTATTATGTATTTTTCTCCCATCATTCTTTCAACTTTGTCAAAAGCTGACACGCATAGTCACGAAGCTTTTCACCACTTACTATGAGGAGCATACTTAGCAGTTTGCAAAAAGTTAAAAGTTTTATGAGGTGGACATTCTAAATTCTATTTTTATAGTACTATTATGATCCGTAAAAAGTGACGAAAACGAAAATACATTTGATAATAAGCTATATATGATACATTGCTGTAATGTATAATGAGTATTAGACTAATTTATGCATTACTTAAGTTTATTTACTTGCATAAGTATACAAAAATGACTTACTTCAAATCAATCCTTGAGAGTAAGCTCGGAAACATGCTTCTCTTCAACTTCGATATATTGTTGTCCCTTAATTGTAAATTTTCAAGATTAACAAATTTGGAAAATCCTTGATCACTTATGTATGAAATGTTGTTGTATTCTAAAAATAACTGCTTTAAATTAAACGAATGGGGAAAATTCGCATCAATATCAATGTATTTTAAACCAATATCTATCATCACAATTTCTTGTAGATGCGTCATGTTTCGTAGTTTGTACCAATCGAAATTCCCAAACAAGACACAATACCACATTTCAAACCTCCGGACTCCTTTTTCTGCCCCAACGAAGGCCATGTCTGTATCACTCAGAGACATTAAAGTAGTGTTTCTTATCTCTATCAATTTTATATTGTCATGACCTTTCAACAAATCATGAGGAATGTACGAAAAGTGAGACATTGTTATTTGAAACTCTTCGATATCCTCAGTTTTAGAAGAAAACCAACTCTTTAATATTTTGTGATAATTTTTTTTTAGATTGTCAGGATTATCTATTCCAGAACATTTCACAGTATATCTGTTAAGATTTCTGCAGGTTGGAGAATCGTTTTGCAGTTGGTAACATTCCGAAAAGAAACACAAGGCTGAAACGACCGCGTAAAAAACGAGCATGTCAGATTCGTATCTTGAAAAGTTAGTAGAATTTTAAATGTAGATATAAATCGCCGTTTTTATCTGTTTCGTGGGAACACTTAAAAGCAGGTTTTAGAATGAAATTGTTTCTTATCGTAAAAGATTATTGTCACTTCGTCTGTTATCTATTTTTCTTCTTCCTTTTGTCAAAAGTAACGTTTCTTACTTTACCCTTATTGCAAATGTAAATAGTAAATAACGCACCTGTATATACGTATCTGAATACCTTATATCTTACCTCTAAACTCTTCTAGAGATTAAAAAAAGACACGTCTCTTGACAGAATTCTAATTAAAAAATAAGAAATGAAGCTTTGATATCTAATAGGGAGATAAGGGAAATAAAATAGGAGATCTTACTAATTGGGAATTGAAATGAAATTTATATGTAGAGTTTCAGTGTCAATAGTGTATTGCTTGGGCAGATTGCATCAGCCGTTAGCATATGATACTGAGAATAATTTCATCAGCTACTTCCTCTTTGAAAGGCGCCAGCGGATCCAGGCGGAAAACTCCCGAATTAATTCTTAACTTTTTCCATAGAACAATCGAATTTCACATTCACTTTCGATTCGGCGATACTGCAAGAAGGTAGCTCTCACCAATGATGTTACTGTTAAACTCATTTCCTTTTTTTTCAATTAAATGTTAAGTTTGATTATTAAATTATCGTCGTTTATATATATATATATANATATATATTATACAACAAAGACAAAAAGGAAATATTTTAATTAATTATTTTAAATTAAAATATTTTTAAAAAAATAATTATTTAAAAAAAAAGCTGGAGTGCATAAAATTCAGGTTGTTTAACTGCATTAAGTGAAAACAGTCACTAATTTTTTCCTTACAGTTTAAATACCGACTGTCATTTGTATATTTGACTGAAATAACAATTACTGTAATTAAATAAATTGTAATTTAACAATTTTTTTCTGAGAAACTTAAATCCGTGAAATTTTATGTAAAAAAGTTTTTAAAGAAAATGAATAAATGCAAAACAAAGAAAAAGGAGAAAAATCCCTGAAATATTGGAGTTTCATTCCTCAAAGAATTGTAAAAGAATTCCTAGTTAGAAATGTACAGAAAGAAGCACGGCACAGAAACAGAGTTTAAAAGGATACACAAGAATATGGAAAATGGTAATAAAAAATAAAACAATTTATTTATTATTTCAAAAATTTCATTAGCTTAATTCATAAACATCATGTTAATTTCATTAGCATGATATTTCATAATTCCACTCTCGAATAAGACACCATACATCTTTTCACCTCGGATATTTTGTTTCCAGTTAACCAAATGGTTTACGGATGAATAAATGATGCAAATGCCTCATCACTTAAGTACGAAAAATTTTTCTACTCAGATATAATGACATCAGATTATAAGCAGCATTCACATCCATTTCAATGCTCTCCAATCCAATATTTTTCGAGTAAAAATATGTTAATGCAATCAAATTTTGCTATTCATACTAGTCAAAATCCCTGAAGGAGAAAAAAATTAGTCATTCGAAAAACGTCATAACTTCGCAAGCCCTGTCCTTCAAACGCCCTGTCGCTATCACTAAGTTCTTCGTCTAATTTTTATTTCATTTTTTTTCCAGGTGATCTTAGAAAAAATCGTGATAAATGTACGAAACGTCAGAATGAATTATAATCCCAGGAGTAATTTCAGGAGTAATTAAACTTATAAAAAGCTTTTGTTATATTATCTGGATTTTCAATGCCCGAGATTTTATTCTATAACCTTCGTTGAAATGTCGTCTACCCAACAGCCGAATATAATCCGTCTACCACTGAGGATATTTTACGTCAGCACTGTGATCGTTGCAAGCCGGGTCTGGAATTCGTATCGACCACTCGTATCGACTTGAGCGTTTCCAAATAATTTTTTACGACATGAAGCAAACCGTATTCATGCCGAAAAATAACTTGTCATGACTTCGTCATGTCTTTGCTCGCATTCCGGCAGTTTTTCTCGAAATGCACAGCTCAAACGAATAAATTGTAGCCTCAACCGATCTTCTGTAATGGATTCATCAATTTGTAGCAGCTCACAGTATACAACACCATTCACCATTCTTCATTCACCATTCTTTAACAGTCTAAACCATTCCCCACATGATTTATCAGTTGGAGCATTGTCACCATAAAATTCTACAAGCATTCGATGAGCTTCAGCTGCACTTTCCTTCCATCAATTAAAGCAGAAACATAAAACATCCAGCAAAAGCTGATTAATTACCACAAAACTCGACATATTCAACAAAGTAAAAAACAGGGTTTTTGCATGAAACTTAAAGCGATTTAACCTAATATTATTGATAGATGTCTAATCTCTCTGAAACCACCGAAATCAGCTGTCACTATGAAACATTCATAACAGTCAGAGCCATCTTTTGAAAGCGCATCGAACTAATGTGTACTCCCAATGTTTAATTAAGTCGTTATTATAGATTGACCGTAGATTACTCCAAATTCAAGAGTACCTAGTTATTGCAATTGGGACTATTTATTTCAATCATTATTACGGATTGCCCTCAAATGACTTCGAATTATAAACAACCTGATTATTGTAAAAAGGATTATTTAATTCAATCAATGTTATAGCTTACCTGCAAATGGCTCCAAATTCCAAAATATATGGTTATTTCAGTGATGATTTTTTAATTACACTGCTGACCATTATAGTTTCAAACCAGGATGGATTACAAATAGCAAACTGAATCTATTTGACACAAAAATTTTATAGTATAATGAACAAGTGATTAAGTTTACACTAAATTAGGGCATTGAGATCCTGAGAATTCACTACCAATTGTGGTCCCCACTTCTAGAAATAATAACCTTTACTTGCCTAGATTAGGAATGAAACAGATATTATATATCATTTTTAAAAACTCGGTCAATACAGCATCAAGACTTTACTACAGTTCATTAGTAGTAGGCTATTAATCAGTTGATCCTGAACCATGTACCCGCATTCAATTGTTCGAAGATAAGGTAAACATAACGGTGACAGTTTGTTTTGCAACAAAGAAGCCCTAAACAAAACAAGAAAAAATGCCGGAAGTCATTATGACGATATCGACTACAAGTTGGTAGTCTGGTACACATCCCTAAGGATGATACGAAGACAAACCATCACAATTTTAATTCTCTACGGAGGATAAGGCTACCCCCACTTCAGTAAATGCACTCGATGTCGAGCAGCACTTGATGGATGAACGGTTTAACGAGGACCGATACCATGCGCAATCTGATCCTTCGCAGGCCGATCAACGTGGTCACCCACTCTCTCATTGACATCTGCCAGAGATGCTTTATTTCGGTGATCTACTGGGAACAGTGTCTTTGCGATTAGTCCACTGTGGGACGCTGTATAATTAAAAGGAGTTTTATATACAGTGCCTTTGATAAAATATTGAAATTAAAGGGAGGTTCATGTATTAGGAATTGCGTATGTATAATTATATTATTAAGAAACATTTTATATAAAATTTATGGCCGCTTAGTCGGTATGGAAGGTAGCGTCGTATGATGTGTTTTCAAAAGTTCGAAAAGCTAAAATCCTAAATTTAAGATGAGTTCTACAAACCAGGGTTCTCTTCTGGGTCTTATAACCATAAGGCCATGTGGCTTTTTGGTGAAAATATAGAAAATAAAAAATATATTATGAAACGTGTAAAAGAACTTAATTAATAAAAACTAATTAAATTTAATATATTGAAAAATTAAAAGTAATTGAATTAAAATTAATTCATAAAATTAATTAAATTCAATATAATTTACAATACGGTATTGATCATCATATCCTCTGTTGAGAAAGAGTTAGAGCAGATACATTTACCCACAAAAATTTTATGCGTTTATACAAAAATTACAGCACTGTATGGTAATGATATTTATGGTTAATTGAACCAAAATATAATTTGGTAATATTTCCACTCATATAGTAACTGTTTAATAGAAATTCTGTTTTTATAAAAGTATAATTTTACCAAACATTTGGTAAAAATACAATACTGAAATGTAAGTTTAACCGAGTAAATGGTGTTTTTTTCCAATTCCCTAAAGTATAAAATTAATAATGATAAAACTCCAAATTTTATCCCAAATTATAAACCCATATTTTATTGCTAATTTTAATAAAATCAAGACCAAAGTGTTTTGGTAAAAATTATTGAAATTATTGGGTGTTCCTATAGAGTTATGTGTTATGAGAAATATATAGATTGCACATTTTCTCTGTTATGTCAGCGAAAAACAAAATAAAAGAATATCTATTAACCTTTTATTCTTCTAGAAAATATAATTAGATTCAAATAAGACACTTTAAATTTAGAGCCATTTTTTTCAGAAGCACCAAAGTTCTAAGTCTTCTAAAGATCCCAAATATCTTTCCTTCAATTCATTGGGTTCCACGCATTTTCCGGAAAATCTTTTCCCCGGAAAAGGATGAAGAAGTATCCACTTTATTCTACAATCGCAGCTCAATGGATTATCTGTGGAATTGAAAGTAACGAAACAATATATTTCAATGAAATATCGATCTCAAATAAAACAACAGAATACAACAATGCAAAACAACATTGAAAAGAAAATTATTTATATATACAAAGATTTTTATTTTTTAATTCCGATCATAAATGCATTCAAATCGTGATTTAAGCCACTCTGTTACTGTTACATGGAGTTTAAACACTTTTAATTTAGATTGAGTTTAAATATTAAAATTTGTAATTTTAATTTTTTATTCATATGTTATTGTTGCTTATTATTCAATTTTTTTTTCATTATTATTATATTAAGAAAAATTCATACCAGAATATTTTTCAAAACAAAATCAAAATATTTTAAATTTTCATATTAACGAAGAATTAATAAGTGCCAGATCAGTGTACATAGTTTATTTTATTGAATAAATAATTGAAAGATTAAATTATCAAAATTTAAAGGGGAAACTAGTCAAAGGGATAGAAGTTATGAAATATCAACGGATATTCATACAAAATTATTTTCAAGAACTTAAACCTTTTTACGGAACAACAAATTATAGTTGCAAATTCTAGTCAGGCAACGCAATGTGACCTCATGTATTCTTATTGAAGAAGCATACTTTACCTTTTTGTTATTTGAGGAATAGTGGTAGCAAAAATATCTAAACGTTTGGAAGCAAATAGTTCAATATTTCTAGTGGCTGAAATATTTTTGGATTAAATGTTGCCAGACTAGCAGAATTTAACCGGAAATGAATAAAGCAAAAGTACAAGGTTTGATATTTATAGTCTAACAAGAAATTAATAACTGCCACTTTAGTGTTTACATAGTTCCTTTTACTTTAATTGAAAGATAATCTTTTTGGTGCAAACGAAAGATAAATCATTCAGCCACTTCATTCAAAATGAAAGTAAATATTTAAATACAATATTTACAAAAAAACAAATATAGTGCCTTCTATATTAAGCAGATATAAGTTTGTCCAAAGGGGGGCAAACAGCTTCTGATCAAGAGTTTGGAGACCATTTTAAACAGATAAAAATTCTTTTAAAAGGATGCAAACAGTGTCTGATCAAAAGTTTGAGA